GTTACCCCATAAAGTATGTTAGACGAGAAGAACAAGCGCACTTTAGTGAAGTCTTAAATAATATTCTAATTAAAATGTATTCTTTGATCAATTAAAAAACAAACAAAAATGATTATTATTTTGAAGAAAAAGGCTGCCACTGGATTATGTTAATTATGCAAGTGTTCCTAGATATGTGGGAGGTGCTGTTTGAGAAGCCTTGAAGTATAATTCAATTTATTTTTTTTTTTGATAATTTGTATATGCGTTCAAAAAACTGTATTATATTTTTAATTAAAAATATTACCATTTTGTTTTTTTTTTTCTTTTTTTTAAATGCCAGGCTTAAGCACCTCCAAATAAACTTCTGTAAATATATACACTAAAGTTCCAATCCTTGATGGCTTGCATTTAGGAACACCTACCATTTAAGCGCTTTCCCGGGAAAACTTTATTCAAATCAGTGCTTTCATTTCACTTTTCAGCCTTTCATCGTTCATTTTTACATTTTTGTGCTTTGGTATTTTTCTAGCATTTATTTCATTTGAAATTCTATACAAAAAGGATTTAGTGGAAATAAAAACAGACACACAAATGCAAATTAGATCACGGAAAATAAATAGAGAAGAAGAAAACTTATAAAGCTTAATAGAACTACGGTGATAGTACGATTATTCACATATGTATGTATCATATATGCACATGTATACAAACATACATATACTATGTATATATATATAAGCTGCTAAAGTTGTAAAAGAATTGGTAAGAGAAGGGTGACTATATGTGTGATATAAACGAGAGTCCGAGAGTCTGCAGAGCGCCAATGGATTTGTGAACAAGTGCGCTTCTCAGAGCGGAAACTCCGCAAATACTTCAATTATGTGTTTCGAGGGTATTTCGTTGTTGAAATTGTAGTCGGTGTCTGGAATGTGGTGGAAAAGTTTACGCTTACGATTTTAAATCTCACAAAAACTCGGCTAAGTATTGAGCATCGTTTTACAAAACATTATTTATGCACATCTCATAGGGAAAAGAATAACTCAACACACTTGAGTGAGATAAATTATTTTACTTTGCGTTTCGTTTTCTGAGTGATTTTCATTGAGTGTTAATAACACCAAAAAGGGAAGTCTCACATTTTGCAACGAGAATGCAAAGAGAGTAAGTAATGAGTGAAAATAATATGGTCTCAAAAAAATCAAAATTTTTGCTTTGAGAATAGTCTCTCAAGTAATTGCCAGTGCTTTTCGCCGCAATACGACAGCGCATGCGCCAACTTAAAAATTTTCCACATTATCCTTTATGACTTTGCTACCTTTTTATCAACTTATTATCCTTGGTATACTTTGCTTCTGTCAATTTGGGCGAATATACTTGGCTTCTTCTCAACTTTTTGGTATTGACGTTTGTTTTCATTTCACTGCCATTGCATTCCTATTCACAAAATAAAATTTTTGTTTACCTCCATGAAATGTAGAAAGCTTGAAATAAGTTGAAAGAAGAATAATTTGGAGAGAGAGAAAAACGGCAAAAAGCGGAGAAGGAAAGAAAAAAGTGGGTACGGTTTGTTATTTTCCACCCTCTCCATCCCATTAAGACAAAAACATACATACATTTGTATTTGTTTGTCTGATACATACGTTTTAAATATTTGCGTGTGTAACGATTCCTCGCATGCCTCCTTAAAAATGTTTATTTATTTGTTTATATTATATTGAAGTACTTAAAAGTTTGTTCATCAAAAGTTGTTTTTATAAATATAAGTAAACGATTTTTTTATAAAGTAAGCCCACATACCCAATACGGTGTTTCGGCCTTCTCAGTTTTAGATTTTAGACTACTACGACTACTACTATATATCAGGATTTGTCAATCCTAGTATTACTTTCGGAATCTGGCAACCTTCACATAAAGTTGAACAATTTCGGATCTATCCATACTCAGAATGTTACGAACATACAAGCGCTATACGTGTTGCTTACTGCAATTTTTAATATTCATCTTGGCCAAAAAATGGAGTTCAATGACAAACATTTTCGCGCGATCTTTGTTTTACAACTTTCCACGTGGATTAAGGCAGTAACAAAAGTTTAGTTATTAATTACCTACTTAAGAAGTTGTATATTAGATATAGTCAGAGATAAGTTTATTTATCGCCACTCAAAGTCTTATTCGAAAATATGAATGTGATTTCCTCGAATAAAGCACCGACCACATTTACTCTTATCTACGCTTACGTTCAATAAGGTCAAGCATAACTCGCAACTGCTACGTGCATGGTAAAATTCAATGCAATCTTAAGCCGCAATATGCCAACTTGATACCAATTTTCGTCGATAGGTGACACCTTTACCGGGAAGAAAATCTTTCACATTTTAATATAGACGAAAACCTACTGAAATACTGTGTTAAAAGCAACTTGTTCCCTCGTCCATTTATGACATTTGTTTGTAAAGACACAAGGATACCTTTCTAAATCATTTCAAGTAACTGAACAATAAGTAAGGGCTTCCGATACATACACAAGTTCACTTTCCGGAAATAAATTGGATATAGTCATAAATAAGATTTATTTGCAGGTCGATCCCTGATCCGCTTCTCAGTTAGGTTCGAGATAATCTAAGCAAATATTAACTAAGAACTTAAATTTAAGTAAATCGATTTTTTGGGTTAAGTTCCCTTCCCAAAGTATAGATTGTTTTCTCAGCTAATTTAAACAAAACGTTACCAAATATCAAGCAAATCCAACCGCAAATGAGAGTTTTCCAAATAGATCGATTGCTAGTCCATTTCTCGAACGCAAAGACATTCTTTATTTTTTGAGTTTTTTATGGAACTATTTCAGACCATCTATATTTTTTGGAAATAGTGAAAAAATTACAATTGGACGGTAGAAGTGCTGCTATTTCGGAAACCATCTTGTTTCCTCTTCAGACTTCTTTTTCCACACACCTTTGTTCGAACAAAACTCGAACTTGGGATACCCACAACTCGGGCCAGTGGTTATCCGATTAAGCTAAATGTGCGCAGTTTTCACTTGTTGTTGTTTTTTCACTATTCCTTTTACCTACATATCCACGATCACGTGATCAGATATTATGTAGATGTAAACTTTGGCGCGTTTAAGGCAACACCCTATTTATTATTGGAAAATTTCATTCGCATGGCAATAGTCCGTAATACCTAGATGCTTTTTCAGGTCTGAAACAGTTCCATAAAAAAAAACAAAAAAAAAACAATTAAACAGAAAAATTAATTGAAAAATCATTCTTTATTTAGGCGATGAGTGCCTCCGTATAATTTTTCGTATTTTTTCTGACTGGTATCACTGCTTTCAAAAATATCTAAACTCAACAAAAACAGTTTTTAAGATTTAATGAAGATTTTTGCATAAAATGGGCTCAGTAGTCCGAATTCTTTATAAAATAATTAGTCTGATAGAAAGTAAACCATTATTTTTGCAATAAATGGCTTAGTTAGCTGTACCTCGAGCTTTAAGGACGAAAATAACTGGAGAAGTGCTGATCACTTAACTCAGTAGTCTTAATCAGATTAAAATGTGAATGATGTGTTTATGGTTTTGATACTGTAAGAGTTAGTCATGCACAATTTTTGGTATCGTCGATATAGTTCCGGTGATTTTGGTGGGAAAGATGTTTCATGGTGTGGAAGCCCAAATGTCAATAAGTATAAATAATGAACAACCTTAAGTCCAACCGTCATGCAGGTGATGAAGTTTACCTGATCTGCGGAGAAATGTGGCCAACAGAAGACTGTGAAGTCCGGGCTTCAAGGCGACTGGTTTGGCTGGTGAAGTAATGGTCTCAAGAGAAGTTTGTAAAAGTCGATTGTCATAACTTTTTGCCAATAAGGCATCACCCTTTAAATGATAAAAAGTTAACAATTAAAAGGGCACAAATCGGGTAATTCAGACTAATGTAAATAAAACCTCCATTTTAATGCAAAAATAGTGCATTACTTTCTACTAGACAACAAAAGGTAAATAAACTACAATAACAAGTTAAATAAAAATATCTCATAACATCTACGGAGCATCGATATGCATTATTACGAATTTTCTACGAAATGAAACCAATTTGTATACGAAAGAGATTTCAATATTAAAAAATAATTCAAGAATTTATTTATATATTTTTTGAATGTTTATTTTTAAAAAATACTTTATGAACCAAGAAAATTTTAATTCATTTAAAAAAGAAAAACAACAAAATCTTTAGCTCTCTATATACGCAATAACAAAAGTCCAATAATTTAAATAAACTTTTATGGTACATAATTTTTCCTTTATCTCCATAGATCAACTTTTGAACTTGTATGCATCAATTAAAATGAAAGCAAAAACTTTTCTTCGCATAACCGGAAATGAAATTCCATATGAAAATTCAGAAAATGCTTTCGGCTGAACTCTGTGTGTGCCATGCATAAGCTTTCAATAAGCATTGGAGTCATTCTTCACATACATTTTCACATTTATTGCTGGATAATATGCTGGTGAGCATGAGATTATAAATTATTTGCATTTTCGCACCCTCTTCATTTTTTATGACTCATTTGGTCTGCACTTAATTTTAAATATTTATTGCTCTGCAAACACATAAATATGTTTATTTGTATAAAAGGCCTTCAAAAGAAGTAAGAGTGGATTTTTTCGAACAACAACAGCTATTATTGCAATGGCAAAGTCGAAAAAAGGAGAAGAAAAATACAAAAATTATGGCAATCAAATTAAGTGTGCGTGAATGTTGCAACACATGTTGCCGCACTTAAAAGCAATTAAAAACACAAAAAATAACAAATTCTTTGAAAACTACTTAGGCGGAGTCTGAAGTAATTTTTGACGGTACAAATACATATATGCTATGAATCTACATATGTACAACTCTCTAGAGTTCTTTCTGCTTATGTATAACTGTGTGATTAAGAAAGAATTTGGAGTGCATTTCGCATATGAAAACATTTATTTTCAGCACAGGAAGGATATATTTTTTCAATTAGACCCAAAAAATCCCCTTACATATAACATACATATAGGCAAATAACTACTTCATTAGATTCCATCATTATACTTTTGATCATAAAACCTTCAATAATCTCTATTACTCACCATGTTGTCCGGTGTTTGTGATGATCACCCAAAAGTCAATGGTTTTCTCCGGTCCCAATTCTTCATAGTCCCACTTCTTTTTCACACGAACCGCGCCATTTGTTTCGACCGTCACCCAGGGATTGTCGTCACGTATTTTAAATGTTTCTTTATCGGTCTCCTTTTCCAATTGAAAGACTGACTTACCCTCGGTATCACCATCCGCTTCGGTGAACTCGATTCGTTTCGTTGGGCGTACCGCGCGCGTAACCCGACGTTTTTCGCGATGATGTGAATGTTCGTTGATGGCATCATGCTCTAAGTGTTGCATAATGAATGAGACCGGTTCGGGTGCTAGGAACTCAAGTAGTACTTTAGCCGGCTGCTTGCTCACCAAACTAGGATAGCGTAAATCATGCGCTTCCACTTCGATTAACAACTCGGGTGTGCGTGGTTGATCGGCTAACATAATCTCACCCGTTTGTGGCACAATGATGACCACATTGCTGGGTGTGGTTAGACGATAGGCGATTTTGTCACCATCCGCATCGGTAGCCTCCACCTTGCCGAGTATGCTGAAGCGTTTCCATGTTGTGGTTGAGTTGCCTTCCAGATCGTTGCTCTTCTGACCGGCGATGGCAAATTTGTATTCATTCGTTTTGAATATTGGACGGTTATCATTTTCATCCAGCACAGTCACTTGTATTTTTGAAACAGTCTTATCGAGCTCATCCACATCTGATGCCTGCACAGAGAGATCATAATGCGACTTCGTTTCACGATCCAATGGACGATTTGTGACCAACCACACGCCATTTTCGCCTTCACTATCCACCATTATGGATTCGACATTTAGATCACCATTCTTCTCGGTTTTTCGTGTTTGTAATGCAAATGCTTGATCATCATTACCATCAATGATGGTGTAACGCACTTTCTTTACACTGCTGCTACCAGCTTCAAGTGCGGCATCACCACTGAGTGCCTGCATTAGCGGTATGCCACGCACACGTGTACCTGCGGGCCGATTCTCACGCACCTCACCGCTTGCGTCCAGCATTGAGCCCGGAAAGCGCAACATATCGCTGCGATGCATAACAAATAACTGTAAATTGTGTGTATTGGTGTAGTTGGGCGTCTCTTCGACGACAACGAGATTAACTGGACGATTCACTAGTGGCGAGATATCGGAAGTAGTCATCACAACGCCATCATCGAGTACAGTGAAATACTTGGAGTAATCACCGGCGAGCATATGGTAGGCGCCCACCGGTGTAGCTGCCGACGAGGAAGTTTTTGCATTGAAGGAGGTCGACTCATTTACTGGGAGGGTCTTAAATTTCTTAATGCTAAAACCCGGATAGGTATCATGTGGCAACACCAGCGAATACTCACTACCGGCCATGCCACCACTGCCGGCTAACATGCGGGCAGCATTTGCTGCCGAGATTCCAATCATGTGTGGCCCTACTTCGTCATTGACTATTGTTGTTGTCGTTGTTGATGACATCTGCGCTTGAGTATCGCGTATAAGCACAAGCAGCACACATGTAGCGGCGACGAACATGCGCGCCAACGAACGCGACGTAAGGAAGAAATGTGACGCGACGCTAAACGGGCGATTTGACGTAGAACGCGAACTCATTGGGGGGACGGGATTATTAACGGAATCGTACGTTTTATTACAAGTGTGCGAGTGCCCCCGCCGCTGTTTTAGCTCGGGTAAGCAACGCACCGCCATTTTGGCACGCGTTTTGCACACTCTTGCACTGTTGGTAGGTTTTCGGGTTATGATTTTTAGATGTCACTCTATCGATTGCACTAGTCAAAGATTTAAATACACTTTACACTATTTTTTTTTTAAATTTATTTGCTGTTTTTTAACACATTTTTGTCAGAACTGGAAAGAGAGAAATAAAAGAATGATTATTAAAAAAAAATTCTGTATATTGAAATATATTGACTAAAATAAGTTAATTTTTACTAAACCATAAATCAAAATACTTAATCTATACCAAATAATTTAAACGAAGCTGCCCCTGATGAGAAGTCAGTCGTTGTTAAGCCATACTTTCCACAATAGTAATATCATATTATCAAAGTAATAATTAATAATTTCCTCAATAATTTGTGTCAATTGACAGCAACCTTCGCTCTTCGATTTAATACTTTCTTTACCAACTTTTTGTCACTTTCCCGCCGTTACCACTGCCACACGGGCCCCTAGTTTCCACGAATAAAAAGTCCAGCCCACTTTAGTTGTGTTAATTATACTCATCATAATCAAGAGAAAATCGATAAATTCCAATTGAAACAATGCCGACTGACTCAGCATGTCACAACAATTACGGTGAAATTAAAACGTCATTAGTATGCAGACAATGAAGGGCACCGAAAACAGTGTGTACACAGTTGGGGGTATTTGAGTTGTTTCGAGAAAATATTTAAAAATAATATAATGAAAATGAAATAAAAAATGTAACTTCACAACAGAATGTGATATTGAAATATTTATATATGTTATGTGGTAAAAAGTAATTAGTAACTTTTTCAAAATAGATGACTTTAGTCATATAATCTTAGTCGGTTGAACTGAGAGCCAAAACTTACTAGTGACTTGGAAGACATACGGTTGCCTCTTCAATAGGAAGAAGAAAGTTCTGTAATCAAAATGTCGCGTTCTATAAGTGCTATTGGATTACGCTAGATGGAATAAAAAAGATGATGTTTTGTGCTAAACAAGACAATTGGAGAAGTTTTCATTGTTTAACTCAGTAATGTTAAAGCGCATGCCAAAGATGGACACTAACAAAGAGAAAATATGCTTTATTCGAAAAAATTTCCTTAATAAAGGTGAAAACGCAAGAAAGGCAATTTAAAATATAATTTGTATTTACGAGCCTGATACTGAAAGGCAAAATCATAAGCAAAATCGAACCTTTTCTGGATCTGTAACTGTGGATAGTGACTCGCCAGATGTTCCGAAGATTGAATGGGAGGTCCTTGGGCATCCACCTTATAGCTTGAACTTTGTACCAAGTGATAACTATCAGTTCATCTCTTTGGGAATGATTTGACTGGTGGAGAACTAGCATCAAGAGAATTCTGTGAAAATCGATTGCATCACTTTTTTGCCAACAGGTACAAGAGTTTCTATTAGTAGCCCTTTTGCAACAACAATTAATAATAATTCTTTTATACTCGTTTTCCTGCCCTTTAAATGTGTACGTGAACATCTCTTTACAAGGGAACTGTGAGTGGGTATTTTAAGTTCCCCACTTTATCTCCAAAGAAACCATCGAATTTCGGTAAAGTATAAACAAATGTTGATCCGTCTTCCATATCAGACTACCTGCCGTTCAAGTTTCAATATCCCTCAAAGCATGCCGTGTTGAAAAGATAACAAAAAGGGAAGAGGAATGGGCACAAATTTGAAAACAGAAAAAAATAATATTTATGTAGGAGAGCTTGAGGCTAAGAGGTAATCAATCGACGAGGATTCGTCCGAATCCGACTATGATGATGTTTCAATAGCAAAACCTACCCTAAGCAATGGTTGAGTGTCCGAGCTACTCACAACAGAATACCCAGCTTTTTATGTCCATTATCGATGTACGATAGGTTTCCACAAAATAGCATATAAGGATGTATCAAGGATGTATAAAGAATTAAAGCCCATGGTTTGACTAGATCTTCGAAATGTGCCAAACTTCCCGGAAAAGCCTATGAGAAAAGTATCGATGCACACTATTTTTTAGATCTTTTAAAGCCTCCATCGCCCAGAATTGGGAGCTTAAATTAAGCAGCAACGTTAGTTACATGAGAATCGGAATGACCTCTCCGAGATGTTCATTACTAAACAAGGCTTCAGGCTGGAAGTGAACGGGTACAAGACGAAATAGCTCCTGTAACCAAACAATGATCGCATATCAATGTCGTAACTTTAGAGTCGCATAATATTTTTCCCATCCAAGAACCAACATTAACGCTAACTATTGCCTGAAAATACAGCGCGGGTTGTAAGTACAATGTTATTAAAAATCGTATGCGTATTTAACATATTTTCGAATTGATTTGACTAAATTGTAAATATTGTTCAACAAATTGACGTTTGTATAAATTTTTTGAAACCAAAATTTTTAATTTATTGCTATTGTAATTACAACACACACTTCGCAGCATTTTTATATGCCTATCATTTGCTGCATCACAGTTGGTGGTCCAATAAGAAGATGCAAACGAATATACAGAAGTATATATGTATGTACATGTGTTCCAATTCATATGCACACACACATCAGCTCCAACAATAATTGCGGCACAGCCCACTTGTTGTTGAATGACTTTTAAATGAGCTTGCATACAATGATTTGGTGTTCTTTTTTTTGATAGCCGCTGCCGACAGATAGTATCAGCTGCCTGACTTTTGTAAATATGTCTGTACATGTGTAGCTCTAATTACAAGTGCGCATATCATTTGCTAACATAAATGTAGGTATATATGTGCATATGTGATTTTTGGTACAAATCGATTATGATTTTCTGTTTGGCTATTTCTTTTTTAGTTTTCATATGCAAATTTATGCGCATTGCGCCGATCCAAAAATGAATTCGACAATGGTAAACCAAATTTTGACTTCACCCACGCACACACACAGACACACGTACTATAAATTTTTGACTAAACTATAATTTGTAAACAATTTTCACGCTTTTTCTGTAAACTGAGATTAATCATAATTTACGATGAAATTTTTAATCCAACTTTTTCTCTAATTGTATCTCACTAATTTTATTTGATTTATGTAATGTGGGTGTGGCTGCCAACAAAGAAATTTATGCAGGGTTTTAATTTTTAATTTTAACCATCCAAAGCTAAGCTAAAATAAATTTACATACTATAATTACAAAAAAAAAGAAACAGACACAATCGAAGTTCTCAAAGTTGAAAAATGATTTATGTGCATGCAAACAAGCGTTGCCTTTTATAAATGGTTTTCCAATGAGAGGTGTTTATACTTATTAGCAACGCAGCGAGAATATTAAAATTCACTGTAAAAATTATAAACACCCGTCAGAGACGTTTCGAAAAACAAAAAAAATTTCACTCGATCGAAAAAGTGAAACTGTGGAAAAGTTAGTGATGTATGGAAGGAAAAACGTGCACGTTGCTCAAGAACAACTAAGAATATTGCTGCTGTATAACAATATGTTGAAGAATACCCAAATTTGTCCAATAGTATGAAATTGGGCATTCCATTGTCAATGGGTATTCCACTAACGTCATTACAATGGATTTCTCATAAAGACTTGGGTCTAAAGGAATATAAAGTTCAGTTGACATAAGAACTTAAACCGGCCGATCATTCCCAACGTCTCGTCTTTGCTGATCGGGTCTTTGAAATGCATGAAAATGATCCGAAATTTAATCGAAAAGTCATCTTGACTGTTGATGACCATTTCTATCTTGACGGCTACGTCAATAACCAAATACGGGACAAAACTCTAAGATTTGTTGTTGAAAAGTCTCTCCATCTTCAACTTGTAACTCTTTGGGGCGGTCTAAGCTTCGGTGGGGTCATTGGTGAATGGATTGCTCTATCGGGAGCTCATTACTGATTTTTTATGGTTGGAATTGTATGGTATTTACACAGGACTTAGCTACGAGGCGCACAAGCAACGAAACGAAGAAGAGTTTATGAAGTTCACGAAGAGGTAATCGCAATTGGCCACCGAGGTTTGGTGATTTAACAATTTACGACTTTTTCCTTTGGGATCACGAGAAAGATAAGATCTATCTATCACGTCAGCTCTCGACCTCGTAGATGGAATTAGTGAAGCTATTGAAGGCATACAGCGATTGGTCCTCTAAGCGCAGATAGGGCGTGGTGGCCATTTGGCTGATGTTACTTTTGATTATGACAAACTTGGCTTACTACAGCATTTGACTGTATAGATCTTAATAAACAATTCGAAATAATATGAAATGCCGCTCTCCTATTTTCATCGAAAAAGGACAACGTAAAGCCAGTTGACTTAAACACCTGCTCCATTTTTTAATTACTGATTTCAGTTTTTTTTTTCATATCCGATTTTATTTTGTCTTCCCATTCGCCTATATTTCTACTCTCATTTAAATTTTATTATTTATTTTTTTATTAATATAAAAATACAATGTTACACCTGTAGTAACAGTAACTGTAGAAAAATCAATAATATTTAAATTTCAACAAAAGTGTTGAATGGGCAATATACTTAATTTCTTTTGTTTAGAGAAAAAACTCGTTCGTCTGCATACAAGCGCTCCCTTTCGATTTTATTTAGGCATGTCAACATATTTATGACTTTAGTCCCGCCATCAATGATTTATGTGCGACATGATAAAAGATACTAATTTATTTTGAATGCCAGTGGCGAGACTGCGTGGCTGATGCTGACGACAGTTAAGAGTGGACAGCAAATATACAATTAATTTACAGTCATATGAAAATGAAAATGGATTTAGGTTTATACCAATTTTTGGTATGCGAGTATGTGGCTTAAGCAATCTTTCTACCAGATCAATAAAACTCATTTAGCATACACACTTTTTAATAGTGTTTGTAAGCATCGAAATATGAAGATTTCCTTGGTTAAAGAATTACAAGAAAAGAAAAATCTTAAATAGCGCTAACGAACAATGTCATTCGATCTTTAGTTATTTATCTTTCTCCATTAATATGCATCTATTTATGCATTGTATAAAAAACATTAATCCACAAGCGTGTTATTCAAATAAAATACTAATTTTGTCGAATGCCTGAATTGATTATAAAGATGATAAGCCGCACAGCTAATTTGTACTATGCGTATTAAGGCTATAACTATTTAGATTTTCGAAGATTATAAACTGTGA